AACTGCCACAGCTAGATCTCTCCTTCTTGGCTCTATTCTCTTCCCACCTGCAACCCTGAAGACACTGTCCCTTTCTTTTTCTTTTTTGGCCAGTTCCCGGACTTGCACTCAGGAATTTGTATTCTGAGTTGCTTTCTTACTCACAGGTGGCCCCACTGGAACCACTTCTCCAGTCTGACATTTTTGCTGGTTAATTAGAAATGGAGTTACATAGACTTTTTTGGGGGGGGGCGGGGGCAGGAGGGGAGGGAGTCAAGGCTGGCTTTGAACTACAAGCCTCCAGATCTCAGCTTTCTGAGCAGCTAGGGTTATAGGCGCGAGCCCCTTGCAGCTGAGATTTTTTGGGGGGGCTGTTCTTTCTTCTTTCTCTCTGCCCATCCAAGTATTTTTTTGTTCCTTGAAAGACCAACCAAAGACCACTTACTTTCTGGACTTCTCTACTCCATCTGCGATCCCCTACTCCGGGCTCCTAACATCTGTACTACTCATTTTTCAACTCCTTCAAACTTACTGAGTGTCTACTATAGACCTGAAACTCTGCACAGCATTGGGGTTACAAAATTTACTAGACCAGGGGCTGGGAATGTGGCTTATTGGTAGAGTGCTTGCCTAGCATGCATGAAGCCCTGGGTTTGATTCCTTAGTACCACATATACAGAAAGGGCCAGAAGTGGTGCTGGGGCTCAAGTGGTAGAGTGCTAGCCTTGAGCAAAAGAAGCTCAGGGATAGTGCCCAGAACCTGAGGTCAAGTCCCAGGACTGGCAGAAAAAAATTACTAGACCAGGGGCTGGAAAGGTGGCTCAGTGGTAGAGCAATTGCCTTGTATGCTTGGGGCCCTGGGTTCGATTCCTCAGCACCACATCAGAAAAAAGAAAAAAGCTGGAAGTGGTGCTATGGCTCAAGTGGTAGAGCGCTAGCCTTGAGCTGAAGAGCTGAGGGACAGTACCCAGGCCCAGCGTTCAGGCCCTATGACTGGGCCCCCCCCCCAAAAAAATTACTAGACCAGCCAGGTGTTCTGGTTCAAGCCTGGAATGCCAGCTACTTGGGAAGTGGAAACCAGGGGCCTGAGGCCAGCCTGGTGATTAAAAAAAAAAACAAAAACAGCTTGGAGGCTTCATCTCACTCCATGGCTGGGCGCAGTAGTGTATGCCAGTTATTCTAGCTATAGGGAAAGTACAAAGTCTAGGTGCAGTAGTGCATGTCCCCAGCAATGAGGGGATGTACAAGTAGGAAGACTGCAGCCCAGGCCAGGCCGGGCATTAAGTGAAACTCTACTACAAAAATAACGAAGGAAATGGATGGACCTAGAAAAAATCATGTTAAGTGACATAAGCCAAGCTCGGAGAGACAAATGGCACATGTTTTCTCTCATTCACAGAAGCTAGGTCTAAAATACAATGGGATATGATAAACTATATAGACCTCTAGACGTTCACACACAGTGAGACCAAAGGAGGGTATTCTTGGAGAGGAACACACAATGCTTATAGGCATCTGAACACAGAAACAATATTTATCAAAATGAACTCCAGAAAATGGAAACAGGTTTTTTTTTCCTTTGTAATAATGAAATGAAATTAAATTAAAAAAAGAAAATAAGGCCTAAAGGGATAGCTCAAATGGTAAGGTGCTTGCCTAGCAAATGCAAGGCCCTGATATCAGTCCCTGGTACTGGCAAAAGAAAACAAAAAGATGACTAGATGAGAAGAGAAGAGGATCCTAAGGAAAAGAAAAAGAGCAACTGCAGAGCAAGACCAACTGTGAGCATTCTAGGTGAATCTGAGCCTGTAGGAAGTGGCAAAGGCCAGTGAGCATCATGAGGTGTGAATGGAAAGATGACCTGCAGGGGTTCAGAATTGTCTCTGTACATTCTTTGGATATGAGATTGGATCCTCACTGAAATATTCTATACATGGTTTCAAAGTACATGTAGAAAATAGAGGGCCTGGAAAGATGTAACAAACAATAACAAAAAGGGTGCCGATCTGGACACCGTAGGTATAGAGGAATGGAGGGCTGCGATCTTTTTGACTGGACAGGAGGGTCTGAAGGACTTGTTCATGGTCTCCAGCACCTTCATGTGTTCCTGTTCCTTGAGAGCTTGTTATGGAGGACCCAAGTAGAGAAAACAATGTGAAATTGATGTAGGAAATTTTGGTAGTTTAAAGAGGAATTACTTGTGTAGGATGAAACTGGAAAGGGAAACTTTCAGAAAATAGATCACATAAGTTCAGTGCCTGATGCTTTAAGCAAAGAAGGGATAGGAGGATTGGGAGTTTCTCCCTAGCAGGAGTGAGTGAGGGTTTGATCCCTGACACTGCCAGAAAGAGGAAAAGGAGGGAGGAGGAGGGTAAAAAGGAGAGGCAGGGAGAAGGAAGAAAGAAAGAGAGGAAGAGAGAAACTAAATGGCAAAAAGAGGAGACACTGGGCTCCATGCCTGTCCTGGGAAGTCCAGGATTGAAGACATTAAAGTCTCCACATCCACTGCCTGCCCCATCCTTCCAACCCAGTCCTCTGTTCACCAGAACTGCTAACAAAGTTAAGAAAATCCATTCTTCGGGGCTGGGAAGGTGGCTCAGTGGTAGAGCGCTTGCCTTGCATGCCTGAGACCCTGGGTTCGATTCCTCAGCACCACATAAGCAAAAAGAAAAAAGCCAGAAGTGGCGCTGTGGCTCAAGTGGTAGAGCGCTAGCCTTGAGCTGAAGAGCTGAGGGACAGTGCCCAAGCCCAGAGTTCAGACCCCACGACCAGACCCCCCCCCGCAAAAAAGAAAATCCATTCTTCTTACTTTCCCATTTTGTTTTCCCTGATGAAACCAGGGGGCTGGTCATCAGCAGGAGAAACTCTTGAGACAATCTGGGTGCTTTCAAAGTAAGGCAGTACACCCATGAGTAGGAGCTTGAATGAATCACATCTGGAGAGTCCCAGACACAGCCTGTTCAGAGTAGGGTATTATTTACTGCATAGACATTACTCTTCCTTACACTAAGTAATCTCCACCCTCCTTCCCTTCCTTCTCCCTCACAATTTTACCTTCATCTTTTTTGTATTTTTCCCCTTGAAAAGTGAGCTAGAAAGTTACCACATTGTCTCCCCCCTATACCCCATGTGTGTTGGTCCTGGGGCTTGAACTCAAGGCCTGTCCCTAAGTTTTTTGCTCAAGGCTAGCACTCTACCACTTGAGCCACAGCTCCACTTATAGCTGTTTGGTGATTAATTGGAGTTAAGAGCCTCATAGACTTTCCTTCCTGGGCTCACTTTGAACCACCATCCTCAGATCTCAGCCTCCTAAGTAGCTAGGATACCAGGTGTGAGTCACTGGCACTTTGTAACCACTTATTTCTTATTCACAATAATAATACAGAAAATGATCTTTAGCAAAAGGTCATGATTTCCCTGTTTCAAGAAAAGGGAAACTTATTTCTGTTCATAAAAAGTAAAGAGTAATCCCATTGCTTGAATGGAAAGGGGAATTTCCCCTTCACTAACTTTCTAAGAAAGGGCAACCCTGAAGCGTGGCTTGCATGGATATAGAGCTGCTGTTTGATTTCTATTGCTACATACCATGAAGAACAGAACTGGGTGGAGTGGTAAATCTTCCTAGTTCTCGCAGAATGGAGCTCTCTGGAGTCTTGAGCTAATGTCTTTTTGGCCACTTGGGAAAAGTTCAGTGACTCCTCCTGTGGCCTCAGCCAGCCTCAAGTGGCTGTCATTGTGAAAATCATTAGTTGTATTTTCTTCAGGGGTTCTCTCAAAAGAGCAATTTTAGGAAGCAGGGCTAGGGACAAGGTAATAAAGGTCTGAGACTTCCACAGAGGGTATGGGAGAAGAAGGAGGAACTAAATGTCTCTGGGTTGTTTGGTTTCCATTTCCCATACATTACTGGGGATTGAACCCAGGGCATCTCACAAGGTAGGCTAGCATTCCAAAATCTACTGGTAGTTCTCAAGACCAGGGGCCAGACAGCCCTGGCCTAGGGAAGATGTCATGGTGCTGGGGTTGCCGAGGAAGCTGCAGCATGGACTTCCCCCTGCTCTCTTCCTGTTCTGCTTCGAGGCAGACACCACCACTAGCTTTTCACACTCTAATTTGTATTCACATATCTCTTTTGCATCTAAAATGTAAACCATCCCCACCTCCTAATTTGATTCTGCCTGCTTACTAGAATTACGATGCATAGCTAAGATTTTTTTAAACAGTTCCTTTACACCATTCTCAAGTGGAGATTTAAGCTTTTTTTGAATGTACATAGCCGTGTGGGCCTGTGTGTGTGCATATGTGTGTGTGTGTGTGTGTGTGTGTGTGTGCGTGCGTGCACGCATGCAGGACCTGGGGCTTGAACTCAGAACTCAGAGCCTGGGACCTTTCCCTGAACTTTTTCCACTCAAGATTGGTGTTCTACCAATTGAGCCACAGTTTCACTTAAGGCGTGTTGGTGATTAATTGAAGATGAGAGTCTTTCCTGCCCTTGCTGGCTTCCAACCGTGATGATCCTCAGATCTCAGCCTGCTGAGCAGCTAGGATTCCAGGGGAGAACCACAGGCACAAGGCAATTTGTTTATTTTGCTGAAATGTCTCCAAGCTCTATTAGAAGCACCTCCATACCTACCTCATGGCAATAAGTTCCACTTTAGGACACAATTTAGGGAAAGGAAATCAATGCACACACACACACACACACACACACACACACTGTGAAGACATTACTACCTGCACGCACTCATCTCAATCCTGGCAGCCACTCTCAGGGGCGCGCATGACCCTTCCCTCACTTTATGGGGGTGAGAGGGGTTGCAGGACCCTGGCCGGTCCACAGGCTGCGGAGACCCGGTGACAGCGCGCGGGCTCCGGGAGGCAGCGCGGCGGTGCGGCCGCCGGGTGACTCAGCAGGGCCAGGCGCAGGGCGGGGCAGGGCGGGGCAGGGCCGGAGCTAGCCCGCCTTACCCGCGGCTCGCACGCGCGCGCGCTCCCGAGGGCTCGGACCCGCGCCTGCCGCCCTGGGCGCGCTCCCGTGGGCCTCACCGTGTTCCTGCTCCTCTAGGCGCGCTCCCGAGGACCCAGGCGCGTCCTCCGTGGACTTGGCCTTCGGTTTCGTGATTCAACAGCCGGCTGACACCCGGGCTTCCCGGGGCCCCCTTCTCCACGGAGACCAGGTACCCCCATGCCCCTTGCTCGTTCCCCCCCCCCCGGGCGCGCGCTCCTCCTGGAGGGGCCCTGACAGCCCCTCCCGCGCCCCCTGAAGGTGACAGGTTCCTCAAGGGTTTGGCTGGCGTGGGGCGGCACGCGCTTTGCTGAACCCCTTCCCCCTTCCCCCCTCCCCTGCCCTAAGCCTTCCTCCTCCTGAGTTCATGCGT